AATGCGAAATCAGGAGAAATGCATTACAGCCACAATACCTTGGCTTACTAACATTGTGAACTTATTGACCAACCACAACTTTCAAACTGTGCGAACATGTGAAATGTCAACTTTCTCAATATCAATAAATGAAATACTGAAGTAGTTCATGGTAAAATATCATCTTAACAATATTTCAAGAGTTTAATTCCGCAAAAGTAGACCCAACAAGGCCGAGGGACCTTGATCATTAGGTCAAAGCTGTACGTTTGCTTGCTTACCTGCGAATTTCTTAAAACGCTGCAAGTGCTTTACGCGAGTCGCAGCATGGGTGGCTATCGCATGTTGATGTATTATCGGAAGTTCTACATTGACGGTGATGACCTACGATATTTAAAAAATAGAGCTGGTCAAGGGGTGCCGTATTAATAACATGTGACTTCTCGCGTGGAGAGGCGTTATCAGTATTATTCACTTATCATTTAGTGCCATATGCACGCGCTTTACGAGAAACTCCGTGCGGTGGAGTTTCTTGGCTCCCGCGCTGCACTCTTGAAGGTGGTCTCACACGAGGTGGCCGCAAACGGTGGTGCAGCACACTTTTGTTGTCTTAAAAGTTCTTGACGCTATCAGGTCAGGCTTTTCTTAAAGCGAAGGACCACTGCTACGTTACTGAGATTCTTGTGCAATCACAGTTTTCGAATTTGTTTTTCTGTGTGATGCGGTTTTCTTTTTAAATGTTTCCGGAGAACATAGTTTTCAGCAAAACCTTTTTTTTTTAATATTATTTCACATGTTTGTTATGAGAGCAAGATAGGTCACGTATGTAAAAAGGTAGCGCGGTTCACACCTGGCGATATTTTGTTTATAAAAATTTACCTCGAAATCTATTGCAGTGTTACGTGTATTATAAGCCAATCAAAATATGCACTGGTGCCCGCACATTGCTAAAAAATTTGTATTTTCATAATTGGATAGGCTTCAGCGCAATTTAGACAAAGACCATAGGAGACACACAGAACACAGACGAGCGCTAAGTGTATCTCCTATGGTCTTCGTCTAAATTGCCCTGAAGCCTATCCAATTATATACCAACTCGCCCAAGTCAAAGTGGTTTTGCATTTTCAAGCTCCCAGGACGACATATAAATGCCGCTAACTGCTTGGAAGCAAGGTTCTCCTGCTCCAACGTTGAAGTTTTGCTGCTCCAAAAACTGCTCCCCGTTAAGTTTCATCCGTATCGCCCCTGTTATTATTATTATTATTATTATTATTATTATTATTATTATTATTATTATTATTATTATTAATGGCATTGCAATGGCAAACATTCTCAGCTACAAACTTATTGCTTGTAGCTTCCGTTTTAAAGGTAGAGTTGGGTAACTTTATCTAAATTGTTCATTTGAGTTTCTTGAGATGGTATTAATAAATCTGTGATTATTTTTTAGTTTTGTATCCATAAAAGAGTACACAAAAGGAGGTAACCCACCAGCATCTGTGATAAATCTATTGAATCGAGGGAGCTGTTGCGCCCTGACAGATTCCTTCTTGCTTGCACATGTTCAAACGTCATCGCTTAAAACGCTACCCCTAGCTTTCATTGCAGGCATCTGAGGACTTTTTCGAACTTAAAGTGTCAGAGTCCAGAGAAATGAAACATCAGCATGCATGTGCTCATCATGGAAAAGAAAAGAATGAAAGAACGAAAATTATGCAGTAAGGCTACGTTCTTGCGACATTAGTCATTGTTAAATGCAAGGTGCACAAAATACGTGAGTAGTAGTGTTTTTTTTCCCTCAAAAGTATACACTAGAGATGTGCAATTTAGGTGGGTATGCTAATCTATAGTAAATAGGAGCAATCCAGGTTCGTATCAGAGCCAATCTAATCCACATCGTAAATAGTTGAGTCAGTAAATACAGGTCAATCTAATTAAATGCACATTCTAAGCGGCGTAGGCTATAACCATTATAGTAAACTAGAATATATTCCACTGGCACAACCGACCGGGCTCCGGCGTCCTTTTTCACACAGACGCCATGAGATAGTGTCACTTCTACGTTTTCTAGCAGCTTTGACTGCATTGTAGGACTGTAGTGGGCTTCTTTAAACTTTTAGCTCCAATTAATTTTAATTCGTGTGTTTGCTTTTTACTTCTTCCAAACATTAAACAGCCAACTTGCTCTCGGTCTCACTCGGAGGTTTCATTTTCGCCAGATATATATATATTTTCATATACATTACACGTGCTCAGAACATTCTGAGCACTTGTGGCATGTTTATTAGCTCACATTGCGAGGGCCTCTCCTCAGCTTTCCTTCCTCCATGTACACAAACTTGTGGTCCATCACTATACATGGAGCATAGTGATGATACTGTGTCTGACTCTTCTGACGCGAGGCTGTTAGCAGCGTAGTTTCGGTTTCGTTCTCACACGCAGGTAATTTTTGTACTCTGTTTATCGGTAGAAAGATGCCCATTGGATTCGATTTTCGAATAAAGATTCGTTTGCACCACCTTCAACCATGTAATGCTACCATTAGCTGCCACTGACAACAATAGTTTAATCTACCTTCCTTGCCGAAGCATAAGGTCATATCGTGAGCTTATTCAGGTGATGTGTAGCTGTTTTTTAGTGTAAGGCCGAGTGTCACTGCCTACAATCTTAGTTTATTATACAACACACAGATTATACGACTGTTTTGCACGGTCTCCTGAAAGTCGTATAATCGGAGTTTCACTGTATATAATTTTTTTTTTGTCGCATGAAGAATATTTCAATATCCGAAGTGTTTGTGTTTTGTTGACCATCTGGAGACCATGATGCATGGAAGAACGGAAGAAGCAAGCTGTGACGCAGCCTTGAAAATAAACTTGAGTTCTGGCTACAGAGCATGCAAGAAAGGAAGACAAAGCTCTAAAAAACATCACTAGAAAGGGCGTATATCCCATGACACGCATCGACGACGCCATTGATTATTTACACGGTGCAGAATTTTTTTCAAGCATCGACTTGCATTCCGGTTACTGGCAAATCCCTATGCATGAAGAAGACAAAGAAAAAACAGCTTTTGCAGCCCTGGATGCTCATACAAATTCAACGTTACGCATGTCGGACACTGGCAGCGGCGGCTGCCAGCGTCCGACATGCTGAACGGGTGAAGTTGTTCTGTGCTCGCGCAGCCCGAGCTATGCGTGAGCTGCGCGAGACGCGCAGGGCAGTGGCTAAGAAATGATGATGATGAGATTAAGGGCGACAATGATGACACCACATACCTGCCAAAAAAAATAAACTTTTATTTATGAGAAGCGAACCTCTTAAGTCATGTTGCTGTCCCTGGAAATTTATCCCCTTCTTCAGAATAGCTTCTTTCAACCTCTGGATCATGGGAGGTGAGCTCTGTAATATCTCCTTACAAGCAGCCATGTCCTTTTTTTCATCGCTGATCAACATCACTTGCAAGCCTGATTGATACTAGCTTAGTTGCTGACAACAGTTTTCTGCATTGTTACGGTTGCCTTCTTCTCATAGTGCAGCTATGAAAAGACAGCCACGTTAGGAATTATTTTCATGTCATACGAGAAACTATTGCAGTTCGAGGTTTTTTATGAAATATGCATGTACGCTACTGGGACTGAGTGCAACAGGCACTTTGAAACTAATATGCTATCTGAATAGACTGACCATCAGTACAAAATTGGGGAGTCTGGCAAACCTGTGTGCAACTGGTTTTATTGTGATGGCAATTTTATGGACACTCTCGGCTGGATTTTGCCGCCGCCGTCAGCGTCGACGTCACTCACCGTATATTTATATGCATTTATATATATAAAAATACGAGAAAGAAGAAAACCCAGAAAAAGACTCCGGCGCACGGAACCGAACTTGGGCCCTCTCAATTGTATGTGCGAGGTATTAACCACTGAGCCAGCGAGGAGCACGTCCTTCACCGTTCGAAACAACAAGCTATTTATATCTACCATTTATCGCTGCTCACGGGCATCTTGGGGGGGGGGGGGGGGAATTATCGTGTTTTCAGCATTACCAGCAAGATGTTTCAATGAGCGCACGTCGCCACATTGCGCGGCAGTGCGCGCTCTACGTACTACCCCGCTTAGAGGAAAGAAGTGACGCTCCCTTGCACGCCCTTATCTCGCTGTGGGGAAGAGGGGAGGATCGTACGTCTTGGCCAGCCTCGGGCTTTACCTGGAACGATTTTGTTGTAGTTTACCGTGAAGACTAATGGGGAAGACCAACAATGATTACAGCACAAAGGTCGCGTAATCATTGAAGTCTTCGTTTTTGAAAAGCACCCGCTTTTCAGACACAGTGAAGTAACAACTGAGACGCTTATTCACATGTATCTGTACCTGTGAGTAAGTTTCGTGCCTCATTTCGTGCATGGAAACGCGGGTCAGGTTTCGATCTGCTTTCCATTCTGCGCGTGAGCTTCCAATTTGTTGCTATCGTGTTCATTGCTTTGCCTTTGTTTTTTTGTTGTTGTTGTTGTTGTTGTTGTTGCTAAATCTATTGCTTGCAGCAGTTGCTTCTTGAACATTTTGAAGCGGAAGAAGTTTATGGTAACATCCTGAAAATACAAGTGACATCATTCATAAATATTACAGAAGGAAGTCCCGAAGTAATCAATACCAAGGGAACCTTCTGGCGATATTGTATTGATTGAATACATGGCTGCCAAATGGTGAGCAAAAGAAAAGAGTAATGGAAACACGAAATATTGGAAACACAAAAATTGTGAGGAACCTAGGAGAAATGGGAAGATGGAAACCTTCATCCTTAAAAAATTCACAATACTCGCCTAGCTAGAAAACATTTCCGGTCCTGGCTGGGTTATGAGACAGAAAATAGGTTCCAGGCCAGATTTTTTCTGACTGAAACCTTCCTTTTCTTAAACCTTCCGTCACCTTGAGGGTTTTCGCAGAACTCATTTCCAATACTTGTGTCCATGTGCTTCGAAGTTGTCAATGAATTTTCCCTAGCCCTGTCACTTGCTTACATCCTGGTTAGCTCAATTGGTAGAGCGACCGCCCCGGAAAGGCATTGGGCCCGGGTTCGAACCCCGGACCAGGAAGAATTTTTCGACGACTAAGAAGCTTTTCTTTCTTTGAAACCCCTACATACAGTAAAACCTCGTTAATTCAAAGTCGTTGGGGCTGCGAGAAACCTTCGAATCAAGCGGGTTTTCGAATTAACAGAGCATTCAAAATGTGGGATGCAAGGATCTTAGAACTGTACATTGTAATCAGTGCTCATTGTTTGCTGTGCCGGCTAGCTTGCGGCTCCAAGGGTTTTGTTTTCCAGCAATACCTGGTTTTAATTTTGCTTCAAACACGGGGAAATGGTGGGCCTCACTGCTTCCACTAAAAAAAAACAAACAAAAAACGTGATGTCATGAATAATTAAATCGTGCACCTGCGGAAAACAAGACATCTTCACTGCTACACAGTAGTGACACGCAGGCAGCTTGTCGTCTGCACCATCCGCACATTCTTTCTGGTATAATTAGGAATTTAATAACAACCACTATGACGGAACTCGCGATGTGTTCTGGCTGGGAAAAATGATCCTTTAAACTTTCAAACTTTGTTTTCGAAGTAGGTATTGCTGGCATGAACTCCGCCATCAGCGCACGGGTGCGAATTGCTGGAGCAACCGGCAGTCGGGGGCTCGGGTACATCATGAATAGTGCCAAACTGTCCTTTATTATTTTCTTTATGATCCCAGAAAGAATGAGTGAATCATGACCCGCTGACGTTCCTAGAAACATGCGATATGCTGCCCGCGCGTCACCGCTGTGTTGCAGTGAAACACGTTTCTTGCAGGCACACATTTTGGTTGATCGCGAGACGGTTTTCTTCTTCTTCTTCTTCTTTGCACTGGAAGTAGCGAGGCTGGGGTGCTTCAGCTACCACTAATATTTTTTTTGTTGCTACGTTACATTGCCTTGTGGCTATTAAGAGCTGTCGTTTCGACGGATTTGCGATGAAATTGCGATCTTAAACTGGCACATTGTACCCAAAGTTTTCGAATTAACCGGACTGGTGCCTGCCATAGCTTCGAATTATCCACTCAAACTTAGATTGCAAAGTACGGTACCATGGAAATCTTTCGAATTATGTGGGATTTGGAAATAACCAGAGTTTGAATTATCGAGGTTTTACTGTATTTCCTTGTCGCTTCGTGCTACAAACCGGTGGTTGTCTTTTTGCTCTTTCTTAGTATAACTTCTTCCTGAGCATTGTTATATTTCCAAATGAGGCTGCAAAATTTCCTGCGGGAAATATAACTTCCCATGGAGACTGGAAAACTTCAAGCTGGAAATCGCTTTCCAGCCAGGAATCATTTTCATTTCCAGCCTGGAAATACCGTTCCCAGCTTGAAATAGAATACATTCTCGCCTGAAAATGCCATTTCCAGCAGGAAATGAAAAATTCCCAGCCTGGTGAGTTATTTCCTGCTGGAAGTCTTGCTGGGAACTCGGAATTTCAGCAGGAAATTCATAACCCATTTTTGTTACAAAGCTTTTTGCTGCAAATACAACTTTGTTGTAGTGTGGCTTGACAGAATCTGTATCAAGCAGCGACCTTAAATAAGGAGAAACATTGATATGTTGAAGTATTGAGTTTAATAAGTTATATGTAACAGGTTTTTCACTGATAGCAGGTATTGAAGAAATTTATGCTTCAAATAAATATTGACTGAAACCAGGATATTTGTTGCCACATGAAACTCTGTTGCAGTGAAGGTTGGTCTAACAATTTTTTTTTTCTTTTCTGTACTTCTTCATTGTGAGAACTGAAAGCTGGGCTCAGCTGTGTGTCGCTAAAAAAAGAAGTATTTTTGTTCACTCTGCCAACATCACTGCTTACCCTGACGTTGTTTGCAGGTGCAGTTGTGTGTTCCACGCAGCCTCAGCCTGCAGACTCAGGCAGCTGCTGGCTGAAGCCTTTCTCTCTCATGTGGGTGTTGGTGCCCTGAGTGTCACCCACCAGGCCATCTGTGCTCTGTACGCTTACAACACCACATCGGGTGTGGTTGTCGACCTGGGAGCACGCATTGACATCTTGCCCATTGCAGATGGTTGGTACTCTCCATTCCTTGTTTACGAATCATGTCTGTGCTCTTTGGTTCCTTTCCATCATTGAGTGCCATAATTGCTGCAAAAGATCGTACGTTGTGTACGTCATCCCGTGGACCGGGGACGAAATAGTAAACTTTTAACTCTCTACTGCCGGATGTCGCAAATTCGCAACATACCGAAAAATTTCGAGCAAGTAAGTCACAAAACGTGTTCCCTCTTTAATGCCAGCTGTCAAGTACTTACGGGGAATGTAGCTTTCAGCGTAAAAATTTTAGCGCTGTCTTGACTAAGGTATTTTAAGCTAGAACTTATTCTTTTGGAGCTGATGGTGGAAAGCGCTCAGCGAGTGCAGCAGCTCTCACTCCTTAGTTTGCTATCTTCACCTAAGTTCTATCTTCAATAATTTTGTTATTTGGTTTGTACGCACTCAAGAGATGGCACACAACATGTTACATAGTTCTGAAGTGCGTTTTTTGTTGCTAGGTTCTCGCTTCTGTGGCATATGGATAATTCGCGACCTACATAAAAGTATGCATTAATATTGCATTTTAGATCATTTAACAGCGGCATCATTTAAAGGTTGCTATTTAAAGCTAGAAAATTAAACAATTTCTATTTCAGACGTGTAGGTAGAGTCTAGTCACTGATGCATTTTCGATTGAGACCAACTGAACATTTCTCAACAATGATTACCTTGCCCTTGCAGATTGCACAATAAAACCTCTACGGTAGCAGTACCTCTTTGCTATGAAAAGTCAGCTTGTGATTGTAATGTCAACCAAAGTTGCGAGAAAGTCTGCCCAAAAAACGTGTGCGAAATTGCATTGCCAGCGTGCAGCATAACTTTAAAAAATTACTTTTTGTGTATTGCAGGCAGGCTTGGATGCGCGCAGTAAAGTAGAAAATGTTCACTAAAAGCTATCACTGCGTGGTGCTGCTTGACATATAGAGCTTAACATAAAAATCATTCCCATAGGCATGTAGTCACAAATATAGACAGTAAGAAATTATTCACTCAGCAAAGTATGCAAAGCCAAAATGTAAGTACGAATGTACAAAAACATGCTGCGTAAGGGGAGCCATTCTTCACCTGTGAAATGCAAATCGCTACGACGAGGACCACGCCATCTAGTAGATATCAGCGATTAACGATGTCTTCTTCTATCGGGTTGGTTATCGCAATGATGCGTTTTCGAAGAGTAGTCCATTCAGTGATGCAACGAGAAGCCGTTGCTCCAGTCACTCTACCTGTTGTTTACTTTATTTTACAGCGATTACTTTACTTTTACTTACAGTCTTCACAAGCACATGCATGGGGAGAGGGGGTAGTCTCATGACTTTGATATACAGTGGAACTTCGGTTATACGACTTTCAGGGGACCACGCAAAATCGTCGTATAATCCGGGCAGTCGTATAATCGAAAACCCAAGAATATAGGCACTGATGGTCGTTGTTGTCCCATAACAGTTGTCACATAATGCGTAATAAAGTCCGCGGCACAAATCTACACTGCTCCGATGAAGGTAGATTAAATTACTTGATAAGATGACAACCACGCATTTTACCGGAGGTGTGAACAAATCTTTATTTTCACCTTTTAAAAAAATCTGTGATTTTTTTCTGCGAGTTTGCCCAGCCACGATGCATCAGCTTTCTTTCGAGAGCTGCGACATCTTGCAGCAAGTCGCCGATCTCGTTGCGTGCGCAAGGAAACCGCCGAATGTTTTCGACGTAGCACAACACGTCCGCTTACGCCGGAACGGACGCACTAGCCTCTGCAGTGTCATCCATCTCTTCCTCGTCGGAAGTTCCCTGCAGTGTCAGGACGCACAGTTTCGATAATGTCATCCAGCGACACTGCACTGCACACTGCAACGTCGTCGTCGGCACCAACATAGTTCGCGAAGGATCCAGGCAGCTCCAGGTTGCCGAACTCTGGTTCGTTCCGGTTCTCGCGGCTGTCCCAAACGTAGACAGGCTCAACAATCGCCGTTCAACACGTCCGATACAACGACGTGAAATGTAGTGAAAGTTATCGCATACTAGAAAGTGAGTTCGAAATTATCTGCCATGTTACCTGCTCACAGCTGTCACTACAAAACCATCCAAAAGAAGGCAGAAAACAAAACAAAAACAGGCCCCAACTGAAGTGCGCAGTGCAATGCGACTAAGCAAAACGAATGCGCTCCGGCTGGCTCTGGGCAACGTTGGCTCTGGCTAGCTATGGCCGACAGCGTGTCGAAAAATTGAAGAGGCCTTGTAGTGGCAGCAGTGGCAGCGCGGATAGTGTGCTAGAACGTGCGGGGGAACGAACTCGGTTCATCAGTTTCCTGACTTTTTTTCATCCGTCCGCAGTGTGCTGGCGTGGCAGCCTGCTTGCGTCATCGTAGGTTTTTTTTTTTTCTCGGACAGTCCAGCTAAGCGTCGTACGAGGCGGGGCCGGCGTAAAATTGCGTTGTAAAATTGAGGTTTTCAATACATTAGTTCTATGGGAGTTTTGCCGGGACCAAGCCAATTCGTCGTAAAACGTGGGTTGTCGCAGGACCGGGGGACGTATAATCGAAGTTCCACTGTACATGTACAGTGTCTGCTCAAACTACCGCCAATAGTGACATACAGAGAAGCGACGGGGGGTGGGGCACAGGTTGATGCCTGTGCCCCACCACCCGTTGGGTCTGTGTGTACCCCTCCCGACAAAAATGTCTGGCTACGCCCCTGGCGCATGGGATAACATCACTGCACATGCGATGCCTGTCGTCGGTTGCTCCTAAACCGTAAAGGAAGCCCTGTCAGCCTTTGCTGTACAAAGGAGTATGAAGAGATACTCAGGTAGAAGGCTTCTTGGTTCGATTCCAAACTGTGAACTTTAATTACAAGGGTATGGTCGCGAGTTAAAGCGCGTCTGCTATTTTAGCAGGCATCAACGAACCGCTCGTTTATTCTGCTACATGCTATGATATCAGTGCCCAAACAGTGCTCCTTTCCCAGGAGTGGCCATATTTCCATACACCAGAGTTTTTGCAGTTTAGTGAAATCAGATGAAAAAGATCGAGTTATCTGCAACCTAAGTTCGTTGTGGGACTGCATGCTCCTACCGTCCTGTGTAAAATGTGAAGTCGTCGGAGGGTTTTCCGACAATAAAACTATTCAAGTCCCCTGAAACTTAGTGTGCTCTCCTTAAAACCTGAGATGAAAACTGTTTTGTACTTCTTAAAAGTGGATGACATTTCTGTCATGGACACTTCAGCCCAATTTGAGGAATTTGAATGTTGCAGCAAATTTATATTTGAGCAAAATAAATGTAATGGAACCCAAGACACCCATGGTACCACAAAGAGTTCATCTCACTCGTTGCATAAAGTACTGATGTAAGAATCGTCATTCCTAGTGTAATAGTAACGCTTCATTGAATTAAATCAAAAGTAAATTAGAAGCTTTTAAAATGTAAGAGGCTCAGAGCTACCCTTAGCAACGCCTTGGTTACATTTTTGAAAAAGATTAATCCAGGTTCTAGTGGTTGATTTGTCCTGCATCATCTATGCACTTGTCGTTCATTCTTGATCCAACTATCCTGTCCAACTGGAATACTGAAGCTATAGCAAGTGCCTTTAATGTTTACTTCAAAAGGGGTTTTTAAACCGATAACAGCATCATTCCTTCATTTTCTCAGTGCAGCAAACTACCTATTCCTTTAATAATGAATTAAGCTTCTCTAGAGTACATAACCTCATAATAAATATTCAGGTTTCAAAAGGATCTGGCACAGACGGTATTCTAAATGTGTCTCTAAAGTGGTGTTCAGAATGATGGGCTAATGATCTAACTGTAATGTTTAAAAGATAAAAAAATGTCTGCAGCAGTTCTCCTGCTGTGGAAATTACCAAACATCGTGCCCGTATTTTGATCCGGAAACAAGCAAATACGTAATACCAAATTATCGGTCAATGTTTTTTGCTTTCTGGCAGGTCTAAACTATTGTAGCATATCATTAACAAATATGTTCTGGAATAACTAAACGCACACAATATACTTTCACGATCACAGCAAGGCTTTCCTGCTGGCTACTCTACTGTTACACCGTTGCTTCAATTTATGCAAGACACTGCTTCTTTCCTTAATGACTAGAAACAGTTTGATGTTACATTTACTGACTTTTCAAGGGTCTTTGACATGGTTTGCCACGCTAAACTTCTAGCTTTTTTACAAATCCTCTGGCAACAAGCTGGTTGATTGGATAGCACATTAATTTATGTTACGCTCAAAATTTTTTATGTTTAACAACGCGAAGTCATCCGACGTAATATCACATCAGCAAGGGCCTCAAGGCTCGGTGCTTCATCCACGTTTGTTTATTATTTTATAAGTGACGGTGAAGAAATTCTTGCTGATAAGTAAACTTAGAACAGATGCTGACAACTCCATGACAACTCCATTATCTGTAGAACCATTCCTAATACTCAAGGCCAACTGCGCTGAATAGTGTTTTTTTTTTTTTTTTTGTGGTCTTGTAAGGGGAGTGCAACCTGGTGAACTTCAAAAAGACTGTAGTCATGACGTTTTGTTCAGAAATAGCCTCATCATTTTAGATATACTAATCACAGTGTAAATATAGCATATGTTGTGCAGTTTAAATACATTGGTGTAACTCTCACAGCAAACCTAAAATTGCACATGCACGTCGAAGCAATCTGCAACAAGCTCTTTGAAAACTTTGGTGTCTCCGACATGCGTTAAGAGACTCAATAAAAGAATGCTGACTAACAGCGCATTAGACTTTCGTCAAACTGAAATATGTCTTGGTTGTTTGCATTGGTTGGTTTCATGCTGTGAGCTGTTCTTGTGGTAGTGGGCAATCCCAATCATGCTTTAGTTTCCAGTGATCTTGGAAAATTAGTTTAGCTTAAGGAGAGACCCTGCTTCAGAGATAAATCTTGTTTTATTTCAAAGTCAATTTTTATGAAACTTGTACATTTTATGTATTTTGATGTGCTGGTACCAAATATATAATTATTATTTTTTGATACATCGCAGTTCTTGTTTTGTATCATATTTTTCATGTTCCTTGGAAGGAAAAATCCTTTTTTTGATAGTTATGATAGTTACAATGATGAATAATGATAGTTACAAATTCTATCAATATATCATTATAATCTAGAATGATGGCTGTGTGCAACAAAACAAAAATGATTGCTCCAAGCCTATTTGAACAAATGTTATGGTGTGGTAAACATTAGGAAGTGAAATCCTAACTTCACATGAAATTGTTTAAAAGAGCTGCAATTAAAGGAGCTTTCACTCTACTTGAAAAATTATGAAACTGGATATGGACAGAACATCAGGAAAGGACCTGCAGCCTGGAAAGTAGTTTCTTTCTCCACGCTTGTTATTCAACCCTCGTTAGTTGAAAAATTGGATAATTCAGACATGTTCTTTGCTCCCAGTAGACGTAGGCCATTTTACTGGTAAAAATACACTCAAACTTCGTTATAATGTAACGGGATATAACGAAATAATAGATTTAATGAAGTAAATGAAGTTCCTCTTGAAAGCTCCATTGAGAACCATGCATTTTAAACCTCGTTGTAATGAAGTAAAATTGACTGGTGAATGTATATAATGAACTAAATTAGTCTATCAAATAGTCTATAAAAAAATTACCGATCGTAGTGTGTTAAGTATATCATTTTCTCCGAAGTTTGATGCTCGTTTGGCGCAGCTCTTTCAGTACTACCGCGCCGACCTTACAGCCACGCCACGCGTGGCCGAGAGAGCGGTCCTCCTCACACAGCTAGCGGAGAGGATTGAGGAAGCGCTCAGCTGGTCACATGACTGAGAAGCGGCGCCACGGTGCAAAGCAATTTCTCTCTCCGCGCCTTAATGACGACGGCAACAAATGCGTCTCTGCTGCTACCCTCTGCAACGAGAAAGGAGGATAGCTTTCTTTCTTTTTTTTTCTCTTCTTTTGCCGCGCATGGCCTTAAAAGAAGAAGGGTCTCTATGTGCAGAGATGGAAAAGGGAGAAGGGTGGAACAGACGCGTCGCAGATCGGAATTTGAGAGAGAGCAAACAATCCGCCACAGTCTTTTCTTTCCTTTTCTTCTTTTTCTTCTTCGCACGCAGCATCGAGAGGTGCCGCCGCGGTATTGGGCATGGTGCTGAGAGCATTTTTGGAGTGTGGTATGTTGGAATTAACCGTCGCAAGTGCTTGCGTGTTTGAATTACAGGGCGTTTTTGTCTATTGGAATACACATAGCTTTGACGGGACCTTAGTGTGAGTTCAAATGAACCGAAAGTTTGAATTAAGCGTGTTCGAATTAATGGGGTTCGACTGTGTTTATTTTTCGTCGCACGCGTGGTCGCGTAGCGGTACAATGAGCTGCGAGGCAGTTTCCTTCTTTGCATGCTTATAGGTGTGCGCCCACCTGAGCATACATTGCCACAAGCTGTTATAATTGATATAATGAAATAATGGATATAACAAATTAATTGTGGCTCCCCTTCAACTTCATTATAACGAAGTTTGAGTGCATTATCATCATAAGTGAGAAGTGCGGCCAGTAGTGGCAGTACATAATAAAAGAAGGGAGCTGAAAATGTTTCAGCTCAGTTAAGACAGTCTTGCACTGTAGTAGCATTGTAAATGAAGCCTCGAGATGATAGAAATTGTGACTGATTTGTTCTTATACAAAATAAATACAGGATTTTTGTATTCACTAGGAAAACAAATGTGCATTGATGTAATAGACATCTGTTTAATGTTTCCCTAAGACTTTTTATAATTCAGCATTCGGTTAACTTGTAGATTTTTTCTTGTCCCTGAAATCAGAATTACAAGCTTTTGCTGTATAAGTTTTCAGAGGAATGACAACTTTCTTGTTTATCCTGAAGAAATAAATGATTTTTCAGCCTTCCAGCAAATATCTCGGTGGCTGAAGGGGCATGCCTCCTCGTGTCTATAATGTACGCGGCATGTGAAGTAACCATATTAATCTAAAATTGCTTTGTAGGATACATTGTGGAAGGTGGTGTGTCTCGGTTGCCTCACGGAGCCCAGCAGCTGACGCAGCAGTTGCGACAGGCCCTTGCCCAGAAGCAGCTCAGGTTGGTACTGATATCTGTAGTTTATCTGCACTCCCTCTATTGTGAACATTTTTAATATACTCAAATATGTTGCCAGTTTCATCTTGCTTTAATTATAATAGAGCTGTGCGAAAAGTAAGGTTTTGGGTGTAAAGCCAATTAATGAAGTCTGAAAGGAAATTGAATGGAATTATCTTCAAATAATGTTTTATATATATTTTTGAAGCATCATACTCATATAGTCCGTTCAGGGTAACAAAAACAGTCTTCTCGCAATCACATTCATCGAATTCGATTTGCCAGTATCCACTTTTCAGATCTAGTGATGAAAAGAACTTGGCACACCGAAGTAGATCTAACGTGTCGCCGATGCGTGGAAGGGGATATACATCGCTCTTAGTAACAGTATTCAGTTTCCTGCAGTCGACACAAAACTGTACCATGTTATAATTCTTCTTGACAGGCATCACGGGAGATGACCACAGACTGTTAGAAGGCTCGATAACATCATCTTCAAGCATCTCCCGTACCTGCTTCATGATAACTTTCCCTTCTTTTGGTGAAACATGATACAAGTGCTGGCATACCGGCCTGGTTGTCTCGTCCGTTATGATGCTGTGCTTTGTAATGCTCGTGCGTCGTGCTTTTGAACTATTGGAGAAACAGCTGCCAAATTCCTGTACTAGGTCGTATAGCTGTTGGCGTGGAATCTCTGGAAGGTTAGGATTTACGTATATTGTGTCGCAGACATCATATAGTGGTTTCACATCTGTTAACGTCGGTTCAAGACTGCATATTTCCCTCACTTCAAAGAACTTACGAAGAAAGGCTATGGCCATCTACTTTGCAATGTGCCGAGATTCGTTTCCAAAATTTTGTCAGAAAGATGTCTGCCCACTCGTTTTCGCAGCTAGATCATCCCTCGTGCCACACAAATGCCTTTTTTCAAAAAACATCCATGTTGCTGTCTGCCACACTTTCGTAGTAGCTAAATGTATCATTTCCGACAAGAATCATTACACTGCTCCGTGGCAGTACAGTTACGTCATTATCAACGACCCCTAGTGGAGTGGTGAATCACTCATCTGCTCATGCTACCTTTATAGTGTGTTTCATCAAAAATGATACGCTTGACCTCTGAAAATTAGTAATGGCATCATTAGCTTGTAGGAAACTCATTCCCAGTATGGCTTCCTCCGAGCACACAGGCAGAACGACAAAGTCACTGACCCCAGTGAAGCCCCGTATCCGAACTCTTGCGGTGCATCTGCCGAGAGGCGTTATAAGGTGACAACTTGCCGTACGTACTTGACGTCTACTCTATTCGGTCAGAACTTTCCTGAGTAATCTGCAACGATATCGAGCGTTGAGCTCTACTCCGTCAATTACCAACGGCAATTCTGAAGCTTTCTCACGAACGTGCTTCTTTACCTGGAAACATTCGTCGTCGTCATCACATTGGTAATGCAGTGGAGGATATTCATAGTTCAGATCGCCAGCAGCCTCGCTTCCACAGGTCGCTCTCTTCAGTTTTCAGAGTTTGGGCTAGGCGAACGATGCCTATGTGTGCTTGGGAAGTGACTTGAGCTGGGCAAGCAGTGGCGCATGGGGGATGGTGAGCACGGTTGATGACAACAAGGTAGGTCAAAGTTGTGGTGCAAGCATAAGTATTCTTCAATGTCGGGTGGTCTCTCGCCATTTCGTGGACACGGGGCATTGATGGCGTATCCCCTAAGACCAGCTTGACGGTATTGGCAATGCCAGCATAGGTGACCAGCCTCTTCGCAGTGGAAGCACAAAGGCCTACGTGTAGTGTCTCACCATACATCACTTTTTCAAGTTGTCACCACTGTCGCATGAGGTGCACTGTGTGCTGCCTCTACATTATGAGGCAGACGGCCTGTTGTCTGCACGTAAGTAGTCGGCGTCTCGAATGGCGCACGGTGCAGAGCAGGTCGCCTGAGCACTTCAGAGTACATTGCCGCCCGTCGTGTCGGTGGCACACCATTCCTTGGCTTCCTCATGGCCTGCCAAATTTCTTCCCGGACAACTTCAGTGAGAGACAACTCGGGGGTTACATTAGGTGACTGCAGTTTCCGCAGTTCCTCTTGGACAACCGACCAGACGAGCTTTCGCAAGGTGTGAAGATTATCCACGACGCTGCTGAGTAGACTCCTGCTGATGTGCTGGCTATGTCGCGTTTGTACTGCCAGGCTCTCTGTTGCTATGTCGTTTCAATGATTGTTGCTTCGGACCGAAACTCTGCAACAGTTCGGAGCGGGTTGCAAACAGGCCCCGCGAACAGCTCTTGCTTTACCCCATGCATGAGGTAACGCACCTTCTTGTCTTCCGTCATGCCGGGGTCAGCTTGCTTGAAAAGGTGGAACATGTTTTCTATGTGCATCGCGACAGTTTCGTTTGTTCATTGATTTCGTGTAAGAAGAGCTGCTTTTGCCTTTTCCCGGCGATCACTGTTCTCGAACGTACTCAGTGGTTGCCGCCGAAACTCTTTGCCACGATGTCAGAGATGCCTCGTGGTTTTCATACCACACTCGCACAGAGTCTTCCAACACGATGTAGACATTGTGTAGCTTGCCTTTCTCGTTTCACTGATTTAGCTTTTGGACTCTCTCGAAATGTTCTAACCAGTGTTCGGCGTCCTCGTATGGATCACCCTGGAACACCTATGGAATGATAGGTTGGCTTACAATTAGTTGTCCCGGTGTAACTCGGCTCATCATAGTGGCAGTGTCGCTTGTCTCCCTCACCAATGTTCTCCACACAGAGAAAAGTGATCCGAATTCTGGCGAGTCCCCTTGTCCCCATCCCTAATCCCTTAGTGTAGGGTCCGAATTCTGGCAAGTCCCCTTGCCCTCTTCCCTAGTCCTCCAGTGTAGGGTAGCCAGCCGGATGTCTTTCTGGTTAACCTCCCTGCCTTTTTCCCCTTTTGTTGCTTTCATTCATCCACTTAAATACGGTGGCTGACTCGTTGGTGCACCAGTGTAAGTTCCACGGCTTCCGGCTGGTCAGTGCTTTGACTTCGTTTATGTGTGGGGCTCAGAATCATTTACCCCGCACCTCCTCCAGAAAATGTAACAAATGTAACAGCCTCACTACAAGGATGTTATATTTACAAGGTGTAAGGTTTAATAAGGACAAACCTGTGCCCAAAGCCAAAGGAATTGCACAGCAGTTAGGAAAAAGAACCGAATGTTCGTAGTCTTCGTGAGCTTCTGTCTCGAACACTGTCGTCTTCTTCTTCACATGCATTGGCCGCTTCGTAAAAGCTCGTGAACATGCTGGGCCAGCTCGTGCCTTCCGGCTGGCTTCATCTTTCGTAGCGGTGCCATCAGCGTTCCTTTTCGTTAACGACATCTGTATTGTACTGTGGTTTAACAGTTCCTTGTGGTAATATGAAAAAGGCGTATGACACTACTTGGCGATTCGGAATCTTGCGTGACCTCTCAGAAATTGGTATTCGAGGTAACATTTTAAGAGTCAAGAGAAAGCTTCCTAAGTGATCGCACCTTCTGCATCAGATTAGTAAATTTTCTGTCTAAGTCATTTATCCAAGAGACTGGTGTACCACAGGGTGGGGTATTAAGTTGTACCGTTTTCATAGTAAAATTGTCCTCTCTACGGTCATTCATTCTATGGAACATATTTTATTCAGTCTATATCGACGACGTTCAGATGGGGTTTAGATCTTGTAATCTTGCAGTATGTGAGGGGCGTACAGTTAGGTCTCAATAAACTGGCAACCTGGGTCAATGAGGTTGGTTTTAAACTGAACGTCCAAAAAAATTTCTGCGTTCCTTTTTCAAGAAAGAGCAGCCTAACTCCTCAACCCATGGTCCATTCACAAGGGCACTGCTATACCTTTGAACACACCACAAAAATTCTTAGGTGTGGTCCTAAACTCAAAGCTGACTTTTATAGCACACGTAAAATACCTAAACAACAAATGTCTTAAAACCATGAGCATCCTTAAAATACTCTCACACACGTCATCGTGTAGTGATAGAGCATGCCTCATAAAGCTTAGCAAAAGTCTGGTACACACACGCTTAGACTATGGTTCTGTGACATACCATATTCTGCTGCTCCAAGTGCTTTGAAAATGCTCGATCCCATTCACAATCTTGGCATACCAAGTGAGGAAATGGATGTAAGCAAGTGGATGTCCCTTTTGAGCATGTACTAATGCCCCCTCCGAGGCGGTTGGCAGTGGCAGGTAATCAAGTGTGACATGTCTTTTGTGAAGGAAACTAAGCGTGCGCAAGAACTAAAGTCAAAGTACTCATGCCCTGAATTTTTTACAGATGCATCAAAATCCAATGAGGGCGTGTCCTATGCGGCCGTGGGTGCGTCATTCTCGGAATGTGAGAGACTGCACCCACAGATGAGCGTTTTTACAGCCGAAGCTTATGCACGCCTTTCTGCTGTTAAATATATTTATAGTACTATGCTACAGAAGACAGTTATCTATATAGACTCGCTTAGTGTTGTGAAAGCTCTGAAATCGCTAAAAACAGACAACAATTCAATTCTTGTCGTTATCTTTTCAGTTCTGTGTGAAGCGTATATAGCAGAACTAAGTTTTATAATATTCTGGGTTTCTGTTCACAGGGGTATTGAAGGCAATGTGCTCGCAGACAGAATGACAACTTCTAGGGACAAAGCCTAGAAACCCTTCTGTTGGTCTTCCTGCCTTTGATCTTAAAACATTTGTGGGTAAGAAAATGAGGGACTACTGGCAGTGATTGTGGGATACTAGGACTTCTAACAAGCTTCACCTAATCAAACCACAGATAGGAAAATGGCCTTCTTGTAGTAAAGTTCGACGAATTGAGGTCACTCACAGCCGACTAAGAATAGGCCATGCATATGATATGCACACCTACCTGCTGCTTGGCAATGATCCCCCTGTCTGTGGCAAGTGTGGGGAGACATTAACAGTCCTTCACATGCCACTGGAAAGCCGCAGACTTGACACATTAAGCATTTTCACCTGGCGTATAAACAAAGGATACCACTACACCCAGTGCTGTTCCTCGACCCCTTGTTTAGCACAGGCTCTGTTTCAAGTTTTTTAAATGAATGTCCAAAATTGCGTGTCGTTGCCGGAACAGTACTGTGGTTCAGAAGAGGCTGCTACTGCGGCAGGTTTTAAATGGAACATGTCTTCAGGCCTTTGTGGTCAAGGGCAATGTTGAGGCACAGGCGCCATTTTCATGAAACGACAGTGCAGTTTTTCATTCCTTGTGAACCACCTTTAATCTCGTTAAACCTTTAATCACTTTGAAATGTAACTCAATGTCTGCCCCCAAAACATTCATAAAGCCTGCATTTGTTGTATACAGGCGAGCCGGCTTATAACGAACCTGAGCGTGACGCGGCATTCATACGCTGTATCCCGAAGTTCGTAGTAAATGAAACACAGCTTTCAAAAAAAGTTGGGAGTAAAAACATACTTTTTATGCCCCAAAAAGTCCATGATGCACGTGTTTCAAATGGCAGAAACATAAGGGCGGTCTTGAGTTTGATTGATTGATTGATTGATTGATTGATTTGTAGGGTTTAACGTCCCAAAACCACCATATGATTATGAGAGACGCCGTAGTGGATGGCTCCGGAAATTTCGACCACCTGGGGTTCTTTATCGTGCACCCAAATCTGAGCACATGGGCCTACGACATTTCCGCCTCCATCGGAAATGCAGCCGCCGCAGCCAGGATTTGAACCCACGACCTGTGGGTCAGCAGCCGAGTACCTTAGCCACTACACCACTGCGGCGGGGCTCTCGAGTTCATTTAAAACGGCAGGGTGCTCGTTCGTCGAGGCCCGTGGCATAAGCTGCATGAGGCACTGACTCCTAAGTTTCATCGTTTTCACAATTCGATTCCTCCAAATCGCACTTGCCACGTACTTCATTCACAATGCCCTAATCTGTGCAAGGTTCCGCAGTGTCGGCATCATCATCGGCCGTAATTAAACTATCGCAACAGATGTCCCACCCGCTCTCATAGGTTGGAGTTGACGACGCGTTGCCACAAATCACCATCGCAGGGGTCCTGTTTGGAAGCTTAAGGCTCGGCATCGGGCCTGACGTCGACGAAGTCGGTTTCGTGAAAACAGTTTCGCGCGCATGTAGCGGTCACTGCCGCCCACGAAATATTCACCATCTCCACAGCTGAAAACCGGGACGCCCGAAGCGGCAAGTAGGCTGCCAGGTGGTCAACAGCTATGAGCAAGCGCTCCGCAACGCGGCACCTAATGCACAGATTACGTTCAAACCAAGGGGTCACACTTTCGACGTTTTGTTGAGCGGCAGGAAAAAAAAAGCGTGCTAGTCCTCTTGTCGGCCATCATTACCACACACTCACACCAAGAGCGAGCAAGGCGCATACACGCGACACACATGCCAGAACGCGTGGAACAGCTCTGGGCCTGTTTCCAGTCAGAAAAATAAACTATTCGAGCCAGCGTGGCGGGCGTCGCGGAGCGGTGGAGACGGGCGAAGGGGTTGTGATCAAGAGAGGAGAGCAGACTTGCGAGAGAAGGGCAAGGAATTGCGTTAAAGAGAGGGGAGGATGCGGAGGGAGGGCGACCTTGACAACCACAACACACTGGAAAGAGGCAGGTTGGGTAGCTTGCTTGAAAGGTCCGCAAAACTCGCACGTAGAAAAACTTGGAAAGACTGCATGGCCGCCTGAATTGGTGCGCGCGGCGGTGTTCGAAGAATCGGCGGCCGGGGTCAAAAAATTGTTTTGTTGCACAGGTGGATTTGCGTGGCCTCATGAACTTCAATATTTTGCGATTCCTTCTGTGCAAACTAACAGCCGTTTTCGTGCTTCCGCACGCACGGAAGGCATGCTGAGCCGAGTGCGAAGTGAGCGAGAACAAGTCCTAAACACGAAACGAATCGCAAATTATCAGAGTCTGTGGGGTAGCATACACACGTGCACTAGACGCAGACTATCGGATACAGTCGGTGGCCGACGATGTTGGCAAATGGTCTGGTCACTCCAGGCCGACGACGTCAACGACAGATCAAAAACGGGTTAGATGGCCGACCGGTCTTCGAAAGATTGGTGGCAGTGTGAAAACACGGGCCTCGTCTGGCGATTCGGAATGCTCAGAGTAGCGGGAGGACAAAGGATGGAGGGGTGTGTAACAAAAGCGGTCGGGGAGTGTGGTGACTAGAGGGGCGTGGAGGCAGCGTCGGTGTTTAACAATAAGAATGTATGGGCACCTCGCCGATGCCTGATCGGTAGTCGAAATTGTTTTCCCGGAAAGTCGGCAGACTGCTGACTCCGTTCGCTGTAACCGATCAGCGGCGCTCGGAGACGTTCGTTGTAAGTGGGATATTGTGCCATTTAACCAATGTATATTTTCACGGTCACACAGATATTGTTCGTTTTAAGCGAAAGTTTTTTTTAAGTGGGGCCGTTATATGTGGGCTCGACTGTATATCTGTTTTAGGCATTTTTACAGCCACGTTATCATAAACACATCGTTACTCATGGTTCATCGACACTACAACACAAACTTACATGGCCCTCTTGGGCCAGGTTTAGCCTTTGCACCACAAAATACCACTACATCATCATGGGGTTTGGTATACATAAACTCATATGGGAAGCTCAATACTTTTTATGTCAAAATTCCCAATTTGTTAATGTTTTGATATTACGAAGTAAATGGCTGAGTATAGCTGATTTTATTATACTGTAAAATCTTGAGAGAGCGATGCCCTCCTTTCTTCGAAAAGTATGCGTTTATGACAAAGCAAGCCCCTCCCCCCCCTCCCTCCTGCAGTTTTCGATGTTTCATTCACTATTTTGGAAACAGTAAATGCATGCATACTCAATAAAGTGTTTCATTGGAACCACAAGTATGCATTTTTTATTCTTAGTGGCTCTTCTTCCATCATCTTGAATTTCACTCCAGACTGATCAAGCACTCCACCTTCAAATCTTGTTAGATTATTACCATAGAGGGAAGGGTGCTTGCTCGGGATTTTACGGTAATGATGTTTCACAGAACTTATGGCGACTTTTGGTGCATAATATAAAGCCAGTTATTGAATCACTGCCTCACATGATGCAAAGAATTCATTTGTTGAATCCTTGTCAATTTATCTGTGCAGCTTGTTTGGAGAGTTGGAGTTGTACCTGGTGCGTTGGGTGCAGCAGCAGGCATGCTATGTGGCACCCAACTACCGTACTGAGCTCAATGCCTGCCACTGTGATCCTACTGCCTTCGAGTGCTGCTTGCCCCTGGGACATTTCTTCCAGCCACCAGCACCTCACATGTGAGCACCGTATGCCGTCTCACTTTCCGGAGTAGTGGTTACATTATTGAGCACATTGGGGGGCCACGCTGCTGTCTGCTGTCATCATCACTTGTCGTTGCATAGAGCCAGTATATTGGGCACATACTCGTCCAAAAATAAGTCTTCTTGTTCTTCCAGCAGCTTGGTGTGATTCTATTAGGGCAGGGAAAACTACGTACATATAGCTTAGCATATTGACAGCACAAGTCATGTAAAAGAATTAAGAAGAGGAAGCATGTTAGAAAGAAAAAGAAAAGGAATAGAAATAAAGAGAAAACAGGAAAATAAAGAAAGAAGGCTGCCCAGATTTGCACTTCCTTCAGTGTGAAGCTGCCTTAATTTTCTTCACTGTGAAGTCCTCATTGAGTCAGAGCTACATGATCATTACACCGTACTGTTTTTGCTTTATTCTAGTTAGGTGCAGGTGGGACACTAGACACATCTTGTAATATGTACCCCAGGCAGTCTGTTAACCTTTTTCCAACTGTAAAAAAAACAAAGAAAAGTATACCAAATCTACCGTAAGTTTCTTTCCACTCAGTCTGTACTTTTTTTTCTATATCAGATGGCACAAATATTTGATTTGGTAGTGTTCTTTCATTTATTTTATTTCATCATACTGCGGGCCGAGTGCCGGCCCAAAGCAGGAGGGGCATACATATCACCGACATCAACGTGAACAAGCGTATCCAGAATTTACACACTCAAAAAAAGGTTGAATAGACAGACGAACAATTGCATGAGCAAGCGGCACTACAATAACGCATTCGTAGGTAAGGTTACAAAGTGGACGCAAATGAAAAGGCGCATAAAACAACCAACACATAAAAAAAAAAACTGGAATCATATATTCACTAACAAATATTCCTCTAGACATTGATGAAAATCGTGTGCTTGAACGACGAACTCTGGTAGACTATTCCATTCCGAAATAGTTCTCGGAAAAAAACTATTATAAAAAGCAACAGTACGAGCAAATATAGGCTTCAATGCATGGGTCGACGTGTGACGCGTTCTTCTTGATGTCAACTGCCCTAGAAATGACGGTGGCGTTATATTCATCCTTTTGCACAGAATGCTCTGCAGGAAAAATAAACGGGCTATCTTCCTACGTGTTTCCAGGGGCATAATCTGATTATTCTGCATTAGCTCTGAGATAGCCTCGTGTCTCCTATACTTTCCAAAAATAAAGCGAACTGCTTTCCTTTGAATTCTCTCTAGCTGGTGAATGTCTTTTTTTGAATATGGGTCCCAAAGCGCGCATGCGTATTCCAGTTTTGGCCTTACTAACGCTAAATACGCCAAAAGCTTGATATTAGAAGGCGTGTCCTTAATTTTGCGTCTAAGAACGCATAGTTTACGAAACGCCGAGGAGCTAATATCTGTTATATGAGCCGTCCACGTTAAATCGTTGGTCAGTGTGACGCCTAAATACCGGTATTGCGTAACCTGCGGAATCACTGACTGATTTAAGCGGTATTCGAATACGCTTGGTTGCTGTTTTCTTGAGATGCGGAGTAGCACTGACTTTGAAGCATTTAATTGCATTTTAGAGTCCCCACACCACTGATCTATTTTCAACAGTGATTCCTGGAGAACTTCGTGATCGTTAATTGAATTTATTTCTTTGAATATAATGCAGTCATCTGCAAATAACCTTATGCTAACTGATTCCGGTAATATTTCTGTTATATCGTTTATGAAAATAATAAATAGCAACGGACCGAGCACACTGCCCTGTGGTACTCCAGACAGAACTGCCAAAGTAGGTGATACACAGCCATTTATGTCTACAAATTGTGATCTTTTTCGCAGATATGCAGTAATCCAATTAACAAGGTATTGAGGAAGCCCAAGAACACTTAGTTTGTGAAGCAACTTCGCATGTGAAACTTTATCGAATGCCTTACAGAAATCTAGTAGGAGCACATCTACCTGTCCAGATCTGTCTAGTATTGCTGCGAATTCGTGGATTGTAGTTACGAGCTGAGTAACAGTCGACATTCCTCGCCTAAAACCGTGCTGATGCTGAGACAGAATGTTATTCATTGTTAAAAAATCAAGAATTTCACCGGCTACAATGTGCTCAAGAAACTTGCATGATGTACATGTGACAGACACTGGTCGATAGTTTCCTACAATGCATTTGTCACCTTTTTTGTGGATAGGCACTACTCTGGCATTGTGCCAATCCTCTGGTACATCCCCAGACTGTAATGACACTTGGAATATTCTCGTCATGTATTCTGCTATTTGATCAGCATAACGGTTTAGAAATACATTAGAAAGACCATCTGGTCCAGCACTTTTTCTAATTTTTAGATTACGTAGCATTTTCAGAACACCCTCCACCGACACCACGGGAACATCTCCGATAGAAGAATTGGACACAGATGTCGCTGTAGTGTCGCTATCGTTAATAAATACGCTCTGAAAATATTCGTTGAAGCACTTGGCTATTGCCGCCTCATCCGTCACTAGTTCTCCATCAAGTTTAACTTCTTTTATGCAATCTTTACGGTTGGAAAGAAAACGCCAGAACTTCTGTGGATCGTTCTTAATGTACTCTGGGAGTGTGGTCTTGAAATACTTTCCCTTTGCTAGGGCAATCTTAGCGGTTAAGGAATGTTTAAGCTCTCGAAATGTTTGTGTTCCGGTCTTATGCTGCTTACAGAGTCTTTTTAATTTTCGTTTGATCTGAATGATCTCGCGGCTGATCCAAGGGTTGCGACGCCCTTTTCTGACTCTTTTCATGGGTACAAAGTGTTCCGTACAATGATTTACAACTTCCTTAAACCTCTTCCACAAAAAATGAACATCTTCAAAATCATGGTATACTAATTTTCTTTCCATATAATCAATAATACTTTCATCATCAGCACGTACATAGTCACGTATGTACGCTAATGAGGCAAATCTAGCACTAGCAGCATGTGGAGCACTCCAGGAAAATAACAGTAACCTATGGTCTGAAATGCCGGGCTCTATGGTAAGTGTTCCGTTTGAAAACTTTTGACTAATAAAGAAAAGATCTAGTACTGCGTTTTCTCGAGTTGGTTCCTGTACAACTTGGTCGAGGTTCATTGCTAAAAGTATATCTAATACAACATTGCAGGTTGCATATTTTTCCGATCTAAATTGCTTCCAATCTATGTCGGGCAGATTAAAATCACCAGAAATAATAACATTACGATTTCGATGCGGCAACAGGAAATCATACAATTCTTCAAGATACGAATCAGCGGCATCAGGTGGCCGATAAACTGCGCAAAGCAGGAATGTGAAACCCAATATTTTTACATTTAAAAATAAACTTTCATGGTTTGGAATCTGGTCCATGAAAGTAACAGCTATATTTTCTTTCGCTACAACCGCAACACCACCACCTCTTGAAACTCGATCTCGTCTGTACAACTTGTAACCTGGTGGTACAATTTCGTCACTACTTATTTTGTCTGAAAGCCACGTTTCAGAGATTACAACAAGTTGTGCATTGTAACTAAGCAGCAGCAATTCTAGTTCATCTATTTTATTTACAATACTTCTTGCATTCAGAGAGAGGATGCGCAGTTGCTGTGGCACCTGGCATAGCTATCTGTCATCCTGTACATCAGCCATTTGCTTTAACAAAACACGTCCGTTTGAGGCATCGCTCCAGACATAGAATGAATTATCAATACGCAGCCTGTCGTTCACTAAGGAAACCTTCTTTCCGTTCTCTTTATCTGTTTTAGCACTTTGCCACAAGTTCTTTCGTTTCCTTCGCGTTTCAACAGAGAAGTCGTTTTGAAGGAATATACGACTTCCTTTCAACTTCCCTGATTTACGTAAGACTTCTTGTTTTTCCAAGTAATTTTGAAAGTACAAGATGACTGGACGGTTTGATGACGCCTTTCCTAGTCTATGTATTCGCGCGACAGACGAACAGCAAATTCCAAGCTTGTCTTCAATTATTTCCTTAATAACTTTCTGCCTGAGCGTCTCGGGTGTTTCGTCTTTGGTTTCTTTAATTCCAAACACTACAAGATTAGATCTTCTACTCCGGTCTTCCAGTTCCACCAACTTTTTTTGGTGCGCTCTCATAGTTTCTTGAATTTCCCCTAGGTTTACATTTGAGCTGGCCATAGAATTAGTCTTCTTTGTTACTTCCTTAATTTCTTTTTCCACTTGCGACATTCTGTCCGTCAGGGACTCTATGTTTTTATCAGTTTCATCTAGTCTTTTTATGACGTCAGCCAAGTCGTTTCGTATAGCCTTCTGTCCGTCTATAAGCGTTTGAAGCATCTTAGCGACATCAGGACCAGGGTTTTCTTCAACGTCCCCGCAGAGCAAAAGTTTACAGACATGAAAACACTGCAATAAAATTCTCGAAAGTCTATGTGGGCACGGCACAATCAAAATGCATCGATCGTCACTCTTGTATGAACAGTAATAACTAACCTGAAAGCACAATAAAGAACGCATGTTCAGAGCTCTGCCGACTGCGGTTTCGCCGGGCCCACTGAAGTTTTCGGTCATCAGCGTCGGGTATATAAGCAGCTTCACTGGTGACGTCACTCCCCAGGCTCCCGTGGTGGCGCTGACTGGATCCAGTGTTATGCGGCGGTAGCTGTAATCTGCACTGTCAGTCGCTGTCGTGATAGCCTCTGCAGCTGGTCGTTGCGTGTCCGAAGTTGGTGCCGCCGATACGACGGATAGCAGTAGTGCCTGAAAGCACAATAAAGAACGCATGTTCAGAGCTCTGCCGACTGCGGTTTCGCCGGGCCCACTGAAGTTTTCGGTCATCAGCGTCGGGTATATAAGCAGCTTCACTGGTGACGTCACTCCCCAGGCTCCCGTGGTGGCGCTGACTGGATCCAGTGTTATGCGGCGGTAGCTGTAATCTGCACTGTCAGTCGCTGTCGTGATAGCCTCTGTAGCTGGTCGTTGCGTGTCCGAAGTTGGTGCCGCCGATACGACGGATAGCAGTAGTGCCTGAA